GGGACACCAAAAGCCAATCCTTTCCCAAGTGGCGACTCTGAAATCAATTAAATAATCCCATTTAGAATATTGTCACTTAAAGTGGAAAAACTCCCTTGCGCATTTATCCCTCGGGGTGCGTGCGCGCCAAAAGGAGGTGTGACAGCTCTGGCGACTCCGCTGGGGAATAAAACCCAGAACATTTTGTTCAGGGTTCAGAATTCGAGCTTAGATAAATTGTTGTATTTTGATATATCTGATTTTTACATGCTTCATGCTTAACATGCTAAACTGCTTACCGCTTTGATATTATTTGAACTGTATATATAAACTGTGCCGAAACCCTTCTCTTCTCTCTCTCGAGGAGTGCACGCTGGTCGTGACTTCTTTCTGTTAGTGTCATTAAATCCCAATTTAGAACGGGGATTCGGTGGAATTGCAAAATTGGCTAGCCTTTTGGGTACCAAGACGCAGTTCCCATCCTCGGCCCGAGTTGTCCGCTCGGGTAAGCCAAGTTAGAACAAAACCCAGGTTTTAAACCTAGTATGACATATCTTCATGCCGGATCCCTAGTAGGAAACGCTCTATTTGCATCACGTTGCATTTGACTTAGGGGGCTCAACACAGGGGTTGGGCCCGTCTAGGAATAGCAACCTGAAACGAGAAGACCATCATGTTGCATCCTGTTTGATTTATGCATTCATTTGTTCGGATTTGCGTGCTGACCGGTTTAAAGAATGAGGGAATATTGTCAGGAGTTCAAAAAATAACCGTTAATTTTTCAAAAATAGTGTCGACGTTCTGTCAAAAACTCAAAAACAAAGAAAAAAGAGAAAATACTTTGAAAAAAATGTGTGTCTTGAAAATTTAGTTTTTTTGACCGAACTACGCGGGTCTGATTCTCACCGGATGTGAGATTCGTAGGCAAACCTCATCGGTTCCGGCCCCCAATTTTCAAAAATCCAAAAAAAAAAAAATTCTTTCATTTTAGAAATCTTCCATTTGAAAAGAAAATCAAATCAAAATCCAAAAAAAAAAATTCTATTATTTTGTAGAAAGCTTTTTCCTAGAAATTCAAAAAAAAATCAAAAAAAAAAAAATCAAAAATCCAAAAATACTTACTTCCTTCCTCAGAATAGTTTTTCTTTTAAGAACCCGATTTCAAAAAAAAAAAAATCCAAAAAAAATATTTTTCTTGTATTTCTTGCTTTAGAAATCTTTCCTTGAAAAACTAAAAAAAAAGAAGTTTTTAAAATCAAAAATAGCTTTCTTCTTTGTCATTCATAAGAAAAAAAAAATCAATAAATAATCGAAATCCAAAATTCGGGTTTTCTTCATTTTGAAGTATTTTTCCAAAAAAAAAAAAAAAAAGCCAAAAATACTCTTTAGATTCTTTCTTTTTGTAAATGTCCATAAAATTTTGGAAAAATGGAAAACTAAAAAAATATTTTGCTTTTCTTTAAAAGTACTTTTGTAAATAAATAAAAAACTCAAAAATTCAAAAAAAAGAGGAGAGATTTTAGCTTGTTTATTCTACTCATGGTCTCCCGAACTACGCAAGATCTGATTCATGCGGGGTCATGATACGTAGGCAATCTCCATCGGATTCGATCGTAGCCATAAAAAAAAAAAAAAAAAAAA